TAATTAGTTATTACAAATTTTAAAATTAAAAAATTATATAAAATGACACTAATAACACAAGTTAAAGTAATTTGAATATGAAAATGATAGAATCGAAGATTAAGTAAATATAAAATAAAATAAAGTACTTAAATGATGGACACGTGGAATAAACAAAAGATGCTCAAGGAAACTAGTTTGTTGACATGGATGATTTCAAATGTATTTGAGTTGAATCAACCTTGACTTGTTATTGAGATCGAGGGATAGTCATCACTAAGAAATTAAAGAGGTGGAAATTCAGTGGCTTAAGATAGAAAAGACTTATGCTTAATAGATCTTTTCTATTGTTTAATTTCAATAACTCTATGATATGACCCTTCTTTCTATATACATTATCCTTGTCTTATCTTCGTTATTAATTATGTTTTATAAACAATTGTGTCTTCTGCATCTTATCAATGGAGTTTTACGCTTGTCCACCCGGTGAGTTGTAGTGGACGCTATCATGGCCCGACTAAGAGTTGTGACAAGAGGTTATATTTGAAATGAAGCATATTTTAGGGGTATACATCTATAAAGGAGGATGGGGTTATTAGGTTTGTGATAACTTGATTAGGAACAAAATTTTGAATTTTCATTGTTGTGCCAAAAGTGTTTCTTTATTCACCATCACTATTGTTGGCTTTTTCAAAATATAAGGAGTTTTTAGGAAATTGATGATTTGTTTTATGGTAAATCCTTTAATATTGAGGTTGTTTTTTGTGAATTGTGGCTGAGATCTTGAATATGATTCTTGCTTTGAAATTCATAAGTTGGAGTTTTCTTTTGTTGGATATGTATGGATTGATTTGACTATTTTTTGTAGTTTCCATTTACTTGGTTGTTTTAGGAATGAGTGGTAGTGTTGCTAGTGGAATTAGAATTGACAGTGTTAGCTGGATCTTTTGGGACTATGTCATGATCCGAAAACTCGAGTCATGATGGAATCTACCACAATCCACAAGTCGGTAAGCAAATCCGTATCCTGAAACAACAAGTAATAGGAATATTGGGTAAAAATAATAAACAATGAGCAATTTAAAGAGTTAAAACAAGATACATAGTTGAAATGAGAAAAAAAACAAATATACAAAAGTAGGAGTAGAAGAGATCCAATCCCACGACCTAGTGGACATCACTAAAAAGCTACTATACGAGTACAAGTCCAGTAGCAGACCAAAAAGTACATACTTGTCTTGAACTCAAATGACTTGCAAAAAACTTTAATCAGAAGGAGATAGGCCGAACTAGAACTCCATAGGCTCTACCTCGATATCCAAAGATCTCCACAACTGGCCCAAATCAATGTTGTTGGCTAGCGTTAGGATTTGCATCAAGAAAACAGATGCATAGTGCAATATGAGTACCAAAATAATAGGTACTCAGTAGGCATAATTGGCCCAATGAGCTTTAAAAGTAAAGCCAATATGAAAAGGAAGAAAGTAAAGTCAACAAGAGGTTATAAGAAAAAACGATAATGGAAAGCATAATTATATAGGTCATGAGTTTAGAAAAGGATTGTGTGATAAAGAAGACCAAATAGCTATAAACAAGTTGTACTCCTAAAACCCGAGAAGGTACACTCGTGTGCAATTCAAAAGTAAATATCTCAAGCGCGAAACCATAAGCCTGATGAATTCACTGAAGACCTAAAGGATAGGAAAAGCTAAGAGTAGAAGTATTCCCAAAATTAAATCATGGCAAAGGCACCCTGAATATAAAAAAAGAACCTCCATAGCAGAGCTCAGATCCGACCAAAAGAAGTGTGCCTTGATTTAAACAGAGGATAATAGAGATGTGTCGAGGCCTCAAACCGCAACTAAAAGAGATACGACAAAACCATAAATCACGGATAAAAGACTCTGAAACCTCCAATCTGCATGCTCTTTTTCATATGGAAACGAGTCTTAGAGAAAACTAGCTTCATAATCACCAAGGACCCACAAAAGCTAAAAATCCATGACCCGATCCAATATAACTAACATAGCCCAAATTGCCGAAGAACATATCAGGAGTGAAACATAAGGGAAATTATAGATAAACATCCATAATAGCCAACTTTTTACCCAGCTTCAAATCCATATTATCTTACCAAAGTCTGCTATACAGGTCTATAGGGAGTTAAGCTATCTGAAGTGAAATCTGATAATTTCTAAAGCAAAAGGGCTCCAAATCGCAACTTTAATGCAATCACAAGCCTATGCCTAATATAAGGAAAATATCTAGCTACCAAACAATATAAATTACATTACAACTGCTACAAGGCATAATACAATCAACAGAAACATGAAAGGCATGCTCAATAAACATGAAACTATCTTACAAGGAAGCTAACACATGAATTCCAGTTACTAATCATCATATCAAAAATAAAATCATCTCACAACTAGTTATTAAACATGAATTTATCAACAAAAGTTTGGTCTAAAAGAGATAAGCCATATCCCACCTTATAGCTGACCGCGAGTGCTCAAAGTCCACTATATCAAAGCTCTTTCCTTTTGAAGGCCTTTGATCGCTGCGACGCTATCAAATAGATGATCACAATGTCAATGTATAAATTTTAATACAAAGATAAAAATAATTTAAGACAAACCAAAAAATAAGTCAAAACAAAAATGTAGGACTGAGAATCTTGAAGTTGACTCCGTCAATTTGTCCTAAATAACTCAAGGAACTTGTCCCACGAAAAAGGTACAAATCTAGCTTGGAAACTAATAAAAAAATCACATACAATTTGATTAATTAACAATCACCATTAGAGAGGGATAATGGGTATTTTGGGATATAAATTTACCTTCAATACAATTCCCCACACCTTCTCGACTCAATGCAACAAAATGAGCATAATCATACCTCTCTATACCAACATATCAATCCTCTAATATATGGAAATAGTGTGAAAATTGGGAATGGTCTTGATTAAAAAACCAGGTAAATAAACTTTGCAAAAGCAGGACTAGTTTGCAAAAGTGAAGGGTAGGGTCCTAATATGTCCACGATTATGGCACCGAGCTTGGAAATGTGAAGGGTCAACTCCTTTGACACCCGTAAATGCGATTATCGAATCCCCTCATCTTTAAAAAAGTGATACTAGATTTGCAAACATGGAGACCAAAATCACTTGCCTCTATGAATGCAGAGTTAGACGCATGGAAGTGAAGAACAAGAGGTGCTACACCTCAGGTATTACACTAGTCCTCATTGGGAATTTGGAAAAATTGACCCGACAAGGCTTGAGATTCGTTCAGAATCCCGTTAATGCAAATGAACTATGTTGCCCCACAAAATTCAGCATTCCAAACTCAATAGAGATTTTGAAACTTTCGATCGAGTTTATCTCAATAAAAAGTGTGTCCCACACCCAAACTTCAGTCTTAGCAAAATTTCATGAGATAGCTCGGAATAAGCTCGAAAGACCTAGAATCCAAACTGAACGTGCTTCTAGATAAAACTCGACGTTCAAGACCTAACATAAGAGTCATAATTGTATTTTGAGGCCGTCAAGCTGAATTTTTTACTGAACTCAATCGTTCAAGTTTTAACATATCTAAAATATGTTAACACCCACAAAATCCAAATGAACAACCAAATGACTAAAGTGTTAGTGCCAACAAGACATACATTACTCTAGATCACTACATAAAAGCTCTAAATATAAAATAAAAATATTGCAATAAAGAGGGAATGACATGGATGGTCAATACAGACTAGTGAAGGGAGAGGTTGCTTAACCATTTGTTAAATAAATATTTCTATTGAGGTATGGTAGAGAGAAGTTAGTAAAGGTTATTTTTGTGAGAAATTTTTTTCTGTACAAATCGTTGCACTTACTTTGTTTACTTAAATAAGACTATACTTCACATATCTTTGCTTTTAATCAAGTGTGCACATCAATCTAATCCCTTTTAACATGAGATCTTCTAGCCAGTTCAATCCTTATTACTCAAACGTCAAACCTTTCGTAAAATAACATTATTGAAGATTTCTACTTGCAGTTGGAATGCGTCTGCAACTCCTGGTCAATGATCACATAGGTCAGCATGATTCATTTATTTTTTATGGACAAGTTATTAGAACAAATTATTTGTATATCAAAATCCTCAAGGAACTTGGTTCATATGCTATTCTTTTTTAATCATGAAAATCAATTTTAGCTAAACTTTGTTTTTATTAATTAACCAATAAAAGTTATTTATCACTATGTCCACTAAATATGTTTCAAGGATCTTATGAGGTGCCAGAAAAATCAAATAATGCAATCTAATTGAATCTATCAAAGAATATTTTTTTATCTTTGTCATTAATTTAATGCTACTTCCTTGGTAATGACATGACACAATAGTGGACCTCATTTTCTCAATATTACTTTATTAGTTTTTTATTAAATATTACTCCCTCTGTCTCAATTTATGTGGAACTTTTCATTTTTTGAGAGTCAAACGGTTTAAGTTTGACTGGGAATTTGCGCATGAAATCTTCAATTTTTTTGAAATGAAATTTATATATTTGTAAACTAAGTAAAAAGTACTATAAGTCACAACAATTGATAATTCAAAATGTTAAAAGATCTATGAAAAATTTACGGTTAAAGTTAGACTTGTTTGAATCTCGAAATCCGAAAAATGCCACATAAAATGGGACGGACGAAGTAATAGTCATCATCGAGATCATCACTAGCCCTCTTGATCCTGAATATCTTTTTATGACATGATATTATAATTTTTAATATAATTTAATATTAAAACATAAAACTAGCCCAAACAAAAGAATGAAGGTTGAGAGAAATTTTCTCTTGGTCGTAGAATATTTGAACACATGTGATACCATTTTTCTATATAAGCCTTATAATCCTAAACATTTTGTTTCAGCCTTTCCTCTCAGTATTTTTTTTTACCATTATTTCCTCTCTCTCCTCTTTTCTCTCCCGGAAAAAAGAAAAAAACAAAACAACTTGAGAGAAAGAGAGAGAGAGAGAGAGAGAAAGCATGGGAGCATGCGCAAGCAAGCCTAATGTGTTAAATGGTGATGCTCCTGAAGACGCACTAGACAATATAGTTGCTAAAAATGTGGAGGTTGTGGCCAAGGAAGAATTGGTGAACAAGGAAGATATTGTCATTGTCGATGATGATGATGTCGACCATACCTCATCTGTCGATAACCTACTCAATGTATGTATTCATATTTCAAAACACAATCTATAGATATTATTCTCTATTTACCTTTCCCCCCTAATTTTATGCCTATTTTCTTATGTTTCTTTCACTCTATTAATTTTAGGTCAATATTTTTTTACTTTACACAAGTTTAAAAAAGAACTAAAAATTGGCAAATAAGATAAACATATGTGCGCGCGTGCGCACACATATATATAATCTTTAGGCATGTATGTCCATATCAATGAGTTGAACTTCTTTAAAGTAATATAAATATCGTTATAAGATATAAGTAAAGGGCAATTGAATATTTGAAGGGGAACCTAAAAGTTGAAATTGTTCAATAATAAGCTTATTTGAATAATTTAATTGTCTGTACCATTGTCGTTTCTAATTGTACACAATCAATTGAATTTGGAGATCTTTTTTCCTGCAAATCTATCAACTCAATTATAAATAGTTTAGATATTAATATGAGTAATGAATTTATAGTGAAAAATGTTTCACATCTTAAGGTTTGAACGTAACTTTCGGTTAGCTTCCTTCTTTTTACATTTGCATACATATCAAGATAATATTATCACATGAAACTAGTATTTTGTAGAAGCATTACACAATTTTGATTAACATATGTGTTTCTTAATTTGTCTAGTAGATCATTGTCAATTTTATGGTGTATCCCAGAAAAATTAATTATTTGTGACATCAATATACTTTATAATTACTGACATAAATTTTTTTTACAAATAGGTATCAATCATAGATGTATGTATAGGTACCCCTTATTTAACTCAAGATTATAAGACTCATATGTCATTTTGACAGAAAAATATTTGTTGAATTGTATCATAAACATGTTTTAAACAAACCTTTACAAACAAAAATATGGTAATAAATAATTACAATTGTTTGATTTGTAACATTAAAATTCAAATAAAAATAAATAAAATCTTGAACATTAAAAAAGAAGTAATACTAGAGGCACACCATAAAAATAAAAAGGAAACTTGCTTACCTTTTTAAGTGACGTTGAGCAAAATTAACTGCAATAATTATTTTTTTATAGAAAAATAGAATTTCTTATGGAAAAAATAGAAAAACAATTTAACAATTTCATTTTGCACTTTTTATTTTAGTAAGTATAAGTCAAAATGAAGATGTCAAAAGCTACAAATAGTGTTGTTACCATGTAGAAGTTTTCAACGAACAAAACGTATAAATGTGAAATGTTAAATGCGAAAAGTGAAAAGGCTATAACATAAATAATAATTATGTTTATATATATATATATATATATATATATATAAAGGAGATAGTAGAATTTTAATTAGTTCAACATTTATGTGACAGAATGAAGAAGGAAAGGGCTCAATAGAAGAGAAAGAGGAGACATTAGTAAAAGCTAATGAAGTAGCATGCGGTGAGGAAGATAAATATTCAGAGGTTCAGAAGGTTGTTGATGATGGTCCAAAAATTGATGCTATTGATGATGACAAGAAAATAGAACATGTGAAATCACAAACTCCTGAGGAGGAAGTCGTAAAACCATCTATGGAGAGTGAAAATAAAAAGGATGATCAAGAGAAATTACTAGAAGAAGCTCTTGTAAACAACACTATAGAAGAAGTAAAACTTGCATTTGAGGATAACAAAATTGAAGACAAGCTAGATGTTGCGGAGGATCTTAATTCTGATGCTCAGAAAAATAAAAAATACGAGAAGCCAGCAGTTGCGGAGAATCTAAATTCTGATGCTCAGAAAAACAAAACAGACGACAAACCAGTTGCCACAAAGAAAGGAAAGTTTTGGTGGGATAAGTAAACTAAAATGCATAATCATTTTTAATTTCACAAACCATACACACAACTCATTTTTTTCATCAACAAATTATCACGACCAACATTAATTTCATTTTTACTCTTCAATATTATTCTCATTCTATTTTGATTAAATTTATATGCTTCATCATGTTTCTTCATTGCCACCTCCATATTAAACTATTGTTAGTTTTTCCATTATAGAATAACTAAAAATCACCACTATTCTTGTCACTCCCTGAGGCTACCCCCTTGACGTAACACGGGACTTAGGATCACGAGTGACCCCAAGCTAACCCTGCTGGCATATCATAAGCATACTAAGATAAACTTAAAGTAGAAATATTGTGTGGAAGCTTAAACATGACATAAAGTGAAATGATGGGGAATACTCATTCTAAGTCTGAATATATAACAACTGAAAGATCAAACTCAAACTCAAACTGAATCTAACTATGTCTGAAATAAAGCCTCTAACTAACTAGAGATGCTGGGAAATTTCCCCAACTAACTCTAGCAAAACTTAAACTAAAAAGAAAGAATGACGGAATAGAAAACATGTCAATCATCCTCGAAGAATGAAGACTCACCACTGATACTGCTGAACTGCAAATCCAGAACCGATCTATGCGTGTTCTGAATGTTGAGGACCTGAACCTACATCACGAGAAGATGTAGCGCAAGCTATGCGTCAATACTTGAAAGGTACTGAGCATGCATGATAGGATAAAACTGAACAATGTATACATAACTGAACAAAGCAATAAGAGCAATGACATAATCTGAACATGATGTAAATACTGAAATTTACTGAAATGAACTTAATGCAATGCATTGACCAAGTACATGACATGCTGAGACTGAATACTGAACTATAACTGATAACCTGGTTAAAGCACTAGAATATGACTTTGGGAGCTACTGTTAACCGAAATAAAACCACGAGAGCTATCCGTGGAGTCCGATGTATCGCCCCATCGAGAGGACCCAATATACCTTGCCAGGGGTATAAAGGCATGACTGGCGTGATCACTAAATTTGTTTCCCATAGAGGGGACTTATCCTACGGGGGCACGTAGTTCTAGGACTAGGAGCATGACTGACCCTTGTCCACTCGGTATTAAGCCTACTCCCAACTAATTATGTAAGTAACACCTTATGATTGAATTATGTAATACTGAATAGCTAAAAATACTGACATGCTAACTGAAAATGCAACATTTATATATTGATAAGGAAACATTCTTAGCTGAGGTATGTATATCTGAATAAATTGACCTAGCAAGTGTAATGCATGAACTAACGAATCTACACAACTAGGGTTCTGAGTTTATACAAGAAGCTAAGAAACGATTCCTCAAAAACATGATAATACGATTTAGATTAGTGTAATAACTGAATCACAACACTTTTCTAAAGTTCAAGAAACCCTAAGTTTAAACATGATATAGAAAATCAAGAATCTGACTTAATTTCAAGGACCTATTGGGTAAAAGTAACCCACTAGTGAAATCCCACATACCTGGTGATGACTTTCACAGAGAAATCTTATGATTTTGGGGCTGGAAATAGAACTGGAGGAAACTTTGTTGGGTTCTTGGAGAAGGTTGGTCAACTCTCTCTCCCTTTTCTCGTTCAACTTGGATGAATTTTGGAGAATAAGTTGACTTGGGTAAGGTCTAATTTAGTTAGTAGGCTAAAACTAACGAAAATGACATAGTTTAGGGGTTAAACGCCATAGTTTAGGTGTCCAACACATACGTAAAAGACCAAAATAATCCTGACTTAAAATCTGACAAAGCCACCGACGGCCCCTGACTGACGGACCGTGGACTAACCGGAGGTCCGTCCTAGTAGGGCATCATTTGGCTTTAGAGAGATGGATTGTGGGGTTCTCAACCATGGCCTGGACCACAGACCGTGGTCCCACCTACGGTCCATAGGTCCTGGCGTAGGTCCAGACTTGGCCAATTTTTTTTCTGGGTTCTGGGAGGGCGCTGCAGGTGACGATCCACGGACACCACCTACAGTCCATAGGTCAACCTATGGTCCATTGGTGGCACCTGGAACTTTTGGAATTCTACATTTCAGGTCTCTTTAGAATATGGGGTGTTACATTATCTCCCCCTTGGGAATATTCGTCCTCGAATGAAGACTAAACAAGCTGAATATGGAGGGAAAGAGCTGTGAACCCTACCACTAAGTTTTGGAAACTGAAATCTAATTGAACTAAGTTCCAAGAACATGAAAATATGCTGAAAATGCAAATATAACTGAAGGAACAAGATACTAAGACTGATTTCATGCATGAGTAACTGAAAGACTGGGGAGGAACTATTACCTCAAGCTGGAATAGAATCGGAAGTAAAGAGATGAGGATACTTGGCCTTCGTGGCTGCTTCTGCTTCCCAAGTAGCTCCCTCTATGGACTGACTCCTCCACAAAACCTTAACTGAAGTGACCTCTTTGTTTCTCAACCTTCGAACTTGACGATTAAGAATCTCAACTGGCACATCCTCATAAGTGAGACTATCATTTACAACAACACTTTCCAATGGTACTATAGATGCTGGATCACCCACACACTTCTTCAACAACGAAATGTGAAATACATGATGCACCGCTGCTAATTCTGCTGGCAACTCTAACTCATAAGACAATTTACCAACTCGGTTCAAAATCCTGTAAGGGCCTACATATCTAGGACTGAGCTTCCCTTTCTTGCCAAATCTCATCACCCCCTTCATAGGTGACATTTTCAGGAAAACCCAATCATCAATTTGGAACTCCAAGTGCCTTCTCCTTACATCTGCATATGACTTCTGACGACTCTGTGCTGTCTTAAGTCTATCTCTGATGAGCTGAACTTTTTCCATTGCATCATTCACCAAATTTGGTCCTATCAAGGCTGCTTCACCTACTTCAAACCAACCAACTGGAGATCTATATCTACACCCATATAGTGCCTCATAAGGGGCCATATGAATGCTGGAATGATAGTTATTATTGTAGGTGAACTCTATAAGAGGAGGTGATCATCCCAACTACCGTTGAAGTTTATAACGCAATCTCTGAACATGTCCTCTAAGGTCTGAATGGTATGCTCTGCCTGACCATCCATGTGTAGATGAAATGTTGTGCTGAGATTAAACTGAGTACCAAGACCTTTCTGAAATGACTTCCAGAAATGAGAAGTAAACTAAAGACCTATATCGGAGATGATAGACAAAGGAACCCCATGTAACCTGACTGTCTCATTAATGTAAAGTTTGGCCTAGTCCTCTGTCGAATCTATAGTCTTAACAACTAAAAAGTGAGCGGACTTAGTAACCCTGTCTATTATCACCCAAATGGAGTTGTGTTGCCTGTGGGTACGAGGTAAACCTGTAATGAAGTCCATGTTTATCACTTCCTATTTCCATGTAGGAATGTTAATCTTTTGTGTCCTACCTCCTTGTTTTTGATATTCTACCTTCACCTGCTGACAATTAGGGCACTTAGCCACAAAATCTGCTAAATCCCTTTTCATGCCATTCAACCAAAAAACTTCCCGCAGATCACAGTACATCTTAATGGCACCTGGATGTATAGAATACCTGGAGTTATGGGTTTCTGTAAGGATCTTCTGTCTCAACTCTCCCACCTTAGGAACACATAAACGACCCTGATAGTGAAGCACACCATCTCCCCCTTGGGAGAAAACCTCAACTTTCTACTGATGAACTGCACCCTTCAGTTGAAGCAATATAGGATCACTGTCTTGTTTTTCCTTACCTCCGCTACCAATGCAGATTATGACCTATTTTGAAATGTTACACCACCATCTGATATGCTCATAAGGTAAACTCCTAAGCGAGCAAGCCGGTGAACATCTTTTGCTAGTTCTTTTCTTTCTTCCTCAAAATGCGCTACACTACCCATAGATAGTTTGCTAAGAGCATCAGCTACTACATTGGCCTTACCAGGATGATAAAGCACAGCCATATCGAAATCCTTAAGGAATTCAAGCCATCTTTGCTGGCAAAGATTTAACTCTTTCTGGGTGAATACATACTGAAGGCTCTTATGGTCTGTGAACACATCTACATGAACACCATACAAGTAATGTCTCCAAATCTTTAAGGCAAATACTACAGCTGCAAGCTCGAGGTCATGAGTCAGATAGTTCTTCTCATGCACCTTAAGCTGCCTAGAAGCGTAAGTTATAACCTTACCTTGCTGCATTAATATACAACCTAGGCCGACCCAGGATGTATCACAATAGATCACATAACTATTTGAACCTTCTAGCAGAGTCAAAATATGAGTTGTAGTCAACCTAGTTTTCAGTTCGAAGAAGCTCTCCTCACACTCGTCTGACCACTAAAACATAACCTTTTTCTGAGTCAACTTAGCCAATAGAGAAGCTATGGGTGAAAATCCTTCCACGAACCTTCTGTAATAACCCACTAAACCCAAAAAGCTTTTGATATATGTAGGAGAGGTAGGTATGGGCCATTGTTTCTCTGCCTCTATTTTTTGAGAATCCACTCGAATCCCTTCGCTAGACACTATATGACGAAGGAAAGCAACAAATTCAACCAAAACTCACACTTGCTGAACTTAGCGAATAATTGCCAATTTTTGAGAGTTTGCAGGACAACCCTTAAATGAGTCACATGTTCTTCCTCACTCCTATAGTAATTAAGGATGTCATGAATAAAGACAATAAAAAACAAGTCCAAATACTGCTTGAACACCCTGTTCATCAAATCCATGAAAGCTGCAGGAGCATTGGTTAGTCCAAATGACATAACTACAAATTCATAATGACCATATCGAGTTCTGAAGGCTGTTTTTGGAATGTCACTATTTCTAACTCTGAGCTGATGATAACCAGATCTGAGGTCTATCTTCGAGAAATAACTAGCACCCTGAAGTTGGTCGAACAATTCATCAATCCTGGGGATAAGGTACTTATTCTTGATTGTGACTTTGTTCAATTGCCGATAGTCAATGCACATC